ATATAAAAAAAGATACTAATTTTTTTTTATTATATCTAATCTAGCCAATAAACATTGATTACCTATTGTTTTAATTGTTTTTTTTTTTATATTATACCTATTTGGCTAATTATAATTTAAAATTTGTAGAGATATAGCAACTTAGTGTAATAGTCTAGTTATTACTCTCTTCAAATAGCATATCTAGAGTTCAAATCCTATAAACAATGATATTTGAAATATATACTTGTGTTTCAGTTGACAGCTATGCTTATCAGTTTGATCTAGAATTAAATTTATAACTTAGGTTATACTATCTAGTAATGAGAGCTTTGGCACAATAAATCTAAAAAAACAGCATAACTGAAAATCTATTTGGAAAGTCTTGAATTTGAAAGTAACAGTAATCTTCGATGGTACTATAGGAGGGCTGAATTTGAACTTGGTCTGAAATCAAAGAACCAAGTAATCATGTTTTTAAGTGAAAGACACATCTGCTTAATTGCCAAGCCAACGCATCAAAAAAAAAGGCATATACTCTGAAAGTATAAACCAAGAGGAAAGTAACCATGAAGCATCTAAAGCCTGAGCAGACTGACCCTTCCAGGTTGCTAGCTGGAAGTAAAGAAAAAACTGATAAAAAATCTAGATAAAAAACAGTTTTAAGTGTGGGTACTGGGGTTGTTGTAAACTGAATAAGAGTATTAGTAAGTAATATGTAACTAATTAGGAAGGTTGTAACTTGAAATACAAATTGACTTATAGTAACATTCTAAAGAGTAGCTTGAAATACAAACTCAGTAACAGCAGTATAACAGATACTAACTAGATAAAAAGTTACTAAACATGCAGGTAAATACATATATAGGACATATATCACTCTGTTAGGCTTACTCTTGAGAATAGTAAAGTATTCTAAATTGGCTAATAATGTAGTAGTGTCACAAAATCTACAACCTGAATAGTAAGTTATACCTGCATTAAATAATCATCAGGCTAAATATGTTAATATCAGAAGGTTTAAATAATAATTCTGTTGTTGGGTTACAGGTATAGCAGATAGTGTAGAGCTTTTAGTATAGTATTAACACTTTGAATAGACTATTTAAATTAGGTACCAAAAGTGCATGTGTGGTTTAATATATCTTCATAATAATAAATAGTGTCTAAACTTAATAAAATTCGCCAACCAAGAGAGTCTTCTTTAATTAAAAAAAATAATAATTTAAAAATTGTTAATAAACAAACATTGGGTATACTATTGCTTTATTGTAGTATCTTTTAAACAACAAGCTAAGTTTGTTTAAATTCAGATTAGATTTGTTTAAACCCAAACAAGATTTATTTATTAAACTTAGACCTAATACAAAAAAAAATTAGAAACTTAAATTTAGACAATAATCAGATTCTAAAAGCTAATATAGTTAAGATTTAAAAATAGAAAAAATTAGAAACTTGAATTTGAGCAATAATTAAACTCTAAAAGCTAATATAGTTATGGTCTAAGAATTAGAAAAAAATTAAAAACTTAAATTTAGATAATAGCTAGATTCTAAGAGCTAATAGTACTTACTATATAAAAGAATATAGCTATATAAAAAATGACTATAGAGAAGGATAGCTATATATAAAATATATTTTATATTATTAGTATTTTTAAAAATTTATTTAAAAAATTATAACTATATTTAAAATTTTAGATATATTTGCTTAAAAAATAGTTAAAAAAATAAATAAAAATTACATTTAATTTATAATTTAATAATTTAAAAAAAAACAAAAATTAGATAATTTTTTAAAAAAGAGTAAAAAAAGTTAAAATTATATATAAAGATCTAATTTAAAAAAAAGAAAAAAATAAGCTATAAAATAAAATTAGCTAATTTATAATACTGCATTAATTAAATAAGGTTGAGTCAATTAAAATTAAACAAATATTTTTTAATAAGTTTTTTTAAAACTTTAAACAAGAACAAGTTTTTAAAAATTATTTAAAAATTTTTTATTAAATTTTGTCAAGTTTTTGTTAAGTTATTCTTGTTTAAAGTTATGAAAAATTTTATTATAAAAAATTTGCTTGATTTCTATTAACTTATCCCAAATAAGTATATTATAATATATATACCAAATTATACCTTTTAATATAATATTATACAAACTAATTTTGAATAATTATTATTATTATCATAATATAAAAAAAAATTAATATTTTAATTTTAATTTAGATAAAAAACTTTTACTAAAATATATTTATATTATTTCAAAACTAGCTATTTGAATTAGTATAAGATATTCTAAGTAAAAATGGTTTATGCCTTCAAACTCTTTTTCAAACACCAACTCTAACTCTAAATACTAACACCATTATGAAAATTTTATATTAAAAATTTTTATATTTAAAACTAAAAAAACATTAAATATATAATAGGTACAAAACCACTATTGGTGCGTTTTATAAAAATGAAATAAAAATTAATTTAATTTAATTTAAATTAACTAAATATAATAATAAGTTATATAATAAAATATATAGTATAGAATTTTTGTAATTAATTTTTTTAAAAGTTTTAAATTAAAATAACTTAAAAATAATAATAGTTTAGTTGAATTTTAAAAAAACTTTTTAACTTATTTTTATTAACTTAACAATTTATTTTAAAAAAATCTGTACTAAATTTGGATAAGCTTTTGTTGCATTGTTTATTTAAGGATTTAAAAACATTTCATTTAGAAAGTTTTAGTATATTTTTACTATATATCTCTATATATAATTTATTTAGTCATTTATACTTATTTATTACTGTTTTCGAAATGGTTTAAATAGAATATTTATAAAAAGATTTTTTTTTTGTAAATACTCGAACACTTGATTAGTTTAAATTATTATGTAAACATCGATCAACGATCTAAACTAATCGAGTATTTGAAAATTTGCAAAAAAAAAAAAAGATTTGCAAACATTGCTATTTTCAAAATTTCAAAAAAGGCAATCTATATTGATATTAAAAAATTTAAGGAAGAATAGTTATTTAATGGTTGTTTTGTTATTGTTATTATGATTTATTATAAAAAACGCTCATTTTTTTTTTATATTACATAAATAAATAATTGCGTGATTTTTTAAAATTTCTTTCGACGCCCGACTAAGTTGACGTTACCCTGATTTAGATTTAACGTTGGTCATAGAGAACCCCCTTACACCCAGCGTACTCTGCATTGAAATACTAAAAATAATTTTTTTTTATATTAAAGATATTAATTCAAGTTATAATTTTATTTTATATACAGTAAATTTTCATTACATATATTAAGTATTTTCATTATATAAATTCGTGCAGATTAAACATAGAATTTTTTTTTTTTTTAGATCACTTGATAATCGATTTATAAAGTTTTTTTGGTTTAAAAAAAAACCATAGCTGATTACGTAATCATTTTATTTACAAATGTCATTGCATGTAAATTTATAATTAAAATGATCATTATACATACATAACCGACATAAATATAAACTTTATTTTTATATATTTTATAACTAACTAAATTATTATTATATATTGCGTGTTCTATTTATTTGATCGAAAAACAATTACATATTTTTTCATTATTCAATCGGAATTCGGAATTAGATAATTTATAGTAAGATATAGGTAGCAATTTTATTTATACGTTAGTACGTACGTACGTACGTACGTGATCGAAAATTTTTTTTTTTGCATATACAAATAAAGTTTTTTACATTTTGGATATTATTAGTTTTCAAAAAAAGATTGTTTTGTAGCTACCAAATTTGTAAGACAAATATTTGAAGCTTGTTCGTTTTTGACAATACTACACAAAATTATTTTAAAGTAATTACGTAGTATCCGAGATTAACAGCTTTAAGTAGACTTCATTCATATCAGATAACGATGTTATTAATATGAAACGGCAATCAAAACACGACTATGAACTTGACACCATTGGAAAGATTAACAAGGACATTAATGAAACTTTAAATGCATCACTTCGCAGCTGATCATGCGCGTTTGACGCGCATCAGATTATAGTCAGTTTATAACTAGGGCTTAGTATTCACTATTTCCATTGGTTTATTAGGACCGAATATAAAATCGAATTAATTAAAAATGAAAATATTCGGTCAAAACAAAAACATTGAGAAAAAAAAAAGTTTTCGATCACATCATTAAAATTACTATAATGATAAACTCATTATAAGTTATATTTTAAGTTTTTGATTTAAAATTTTATAGGCGATCAAAATACTTTTATCACCGAATGTAGAGAGTCTATTTCTAGCACCTAAAATAACGATAACGATATCACGGAAATAATCAACTAAATCCAATAAAGTTTACTTATTTTTATCCGGTCGAATTTGGTTAAGTAGAGCTATTTTAAATGCTAGAAATAGTTGGACGCTTTGTCCGAGTGTATAAGTAGACAGGCAATACCCGATAGTACGTATGTGTACGGACATAAGTATTGTACGTATGTATTGTACGTGCAATGCTGCTATTTAAATCAAATTTAAATCTGCGCTGAATTTACTAAATCTAAATATTTGATCTTGTCGAAAATTTAACCAGCCTCAATTTATTATTATATAAATATGCAAATATATGCAGGATGTATTCAGATTTGCCAATCTTTACTATCAAATAAATCCAAATCTATTCTATTTACAGTAAGCCGATATTCGTTTTGTATAATCATAGTTTCAGAAAAAATTTTGTGGAGTGTGTATAACTACAAGTAAAAAAAAAATTTATTAGAAAGAAATAAATAAACGCAAAGGTTAATAAAAAAAGTTCATAAAATTTTTCATAGTAAAACTAATTTGTATGTTCATAGAGATTAATAAAAATTCATAAAAGATTAAAAAAGTCAAAAAAGGTAAAAATATCAATATTTAACCCACATGATAAACATGATAACTATGCATCACTTAAAATAGTAACGTTAATAATAAAAATAGGAATAACACTAATACTAAAATAAAAAATTAAAATAATAATAGTTCAAAGATAACTTTGTAAATATAAATCCTGCAGCTCAGTCCCAATTCTCTCATTTGGTAATCCCTGTGAAAAACCTTGAAGCATACAACAATTGTCATAAAATAGATCCACCGGATATTGCGCAGTTAATAAATTTAAATTCCAATCAATTTGATCACTTGTAATATAGTTCAAATTATCTGAATTATCCGAAGAATTTACTACGGAATACGCAAGATTACAATCATTATTAATTACTTCAGGTGTTGGAGTACTTGTAAAAGTAGTGTTTTGATTAATTGTAAAAGTAGAATCAGTAACCCAAGGAGTATCCTCAGATGTAGTAACCTTTGACTTTTCCTTTGGTTGACTAGCCTTTATAGTTTCCGGCGATATAGGAACAAATTCATAAACAATATTATTTGTAGATTCCCTCGGTTTTGAATGGGCAATAGAAGCATTCTTTGACCTCGATTTTTCTTTCTTTATAGCCAAATTACCCTTTTCTTTACTATCATTTCTATGATCCTTATTATTCCCATTTTTTGTAATATCATTATTATTATTGTCTTTTTTCAACTGATTTAAATTTTTAAATAATTGATTATTTGAATCATCATCCTTCTTCTTCTTCTTGATTGGACATTTCGCATTTCTCCAAATAACTTTGGACCTACCTATCCTCGAAGAAGAATTATTCTTTCTTAATTGTTCTAATTCATCTTTAACTTGTTTAGCCATATCTTTATAAGTTGCTTTAACGAATTCAGGCTCAGAATTCCAACAAATACTAACAAATTTTGAAAATTCGGTCATTTTTAAATGTGATTTTATGCCATAACCTTTTTGTTTGCTTTCGTTATCAATTAAAGATGATGGTGAAGAACCATTAATGGATGTTAAATGCATTAAACTTGATAAATGATCCAAAAATGCCTTGCGATAAATTAAGAAAGCATTGGGTCCTTTTAGATTTATTTGAGTTGGATCCCTTTTGGAGATTATATCAGAAACTTTGATCATTGGTGGAAATGGTGGTTTTATCAATTGTGTTGGCATATCTGATGAAGCAAATTTTGTTGTATTTGGTAGTTTTTCTGCGATTCCGTCAGGAAATGAACTTTGAGAAGAGATAGAATTGAAAATCATAGAAGATTGAGGAGACATTGATAAAAAAATATATATAAATATAAGTAGATTATTATTATTTTTTCTTTCGTTAAGTGGTATTTATGTATTTTTGTTTATAATAATAAAGTAACTTTTTTTTTTTCTTATTAAACTTTAATTTTATAGATAGGAGCCTTTATAATAATAATATATATATATATATATATGTTTTTAGCGAAAAAAAACAAAAAAAAATATATACACATATGAAATTACTACGCAGTAGCAATATCACCAGAAGAGACGGACGTGATGATTTATATAATTTTTCCCTACATGCAATAAAATTCCCACGTACGACTTACGTAGGCAACTTTTTTACGTATGACACGCAAAGACATGTGAAAAAAAGACAAGAGAATATTATTCGACGAATCATTTAATTTTCACTGAACGAATGTTCTAAAAAAATGATGTAAATCTGCCTTTAAAAAAAAAAAATGCTACAATTGATCTTGTTTCGGAGCAGGCACAAATAACAAAGAAATTACAAGAATAACTAAGAATAACAATAATAGTCTGGTGCGCTCTCCTCGTGACCGTTATCTTTTCCCTAACCGGCTGTATACCTATTTCATCATTATACACATTATTTACGTGTCACATTATGTCACTAGCATATTATACTTTATCCTTTTTTAAAGGAAACGTAACGCGTCCAATATATGCAAAAAATTTTTACAATATCTATTTATTATATTTTATTATATTTTATTATGTATTTATTATGTTTTATGATTTTATATCAAATCATATTTCAAATCTCTTAAAAAAGGAGCAACGCATCTACACACTTTGCTTGCAATTTTACGAATGATTCGCATTCAAAATATAGATCGAACATTACACGACGTTAAAATAAAAAATAAATAAATATATATATATATATATATAAAGAAATTCCTTAAATTGTACGATAATCTGTATAATAATAGATATAATAGTTATAATAGTTATAATAACTGAAAACAACACTTTTATATTCTTTATATTGTATAAGGTCCTGTATAATAACTGATAAACAATTAACGGAATGTCCATAGATATACTACAAACACAGATTTTCCATAATTCCAAATTAAGGGAAACAAATCAACCTTCTAAATTTATTCAAATATCATTCAACATATTTGACCATGTAGGGCGGTTTATTTACTAAATTTGGAAATTTTTGGAAAAAAAATTGATAAGCATTTTAGCTTGCATGTGGTTATACTAAAGGAAATGTCCTTTAGGACGCATTACATTTTACATTTCGTTATAACAACAAATAAACATTTATATAAATAAGCATGCGATATTTTTTTTATGCAACATTTAAAAAAAGATTAAATTAACTTTTAATTGGTGAACTATCTATATTTAGAAATTATTATCGGCTCCTTAGAATTGGTCCTACCTGTTCGTATCACCTCGCTTTATTCCGTAAGATCTTTAACTTTTCGTATTATTATTCTGTGTTCATCATAACGTTAGGGTGCATAACGCGAATACTACTAACAACAACAGGAGCGAAGGAATTTGATTGTACGAACGGTTGCATACGCATATGAACTAATCAACGATGGGACTCGATATATGCATTATGTTTTAAGTGCTATTATTTATGTGACATTCATTTAACGTGTGCACCTGCCAAGGACATCCAATCACTATTTAATTTGACATACCCCCCAATTCTTAGCGTTAGTAATTAGGAATAGATCTGCGTAATTTAATATTAATTGCAGCAATAAATGTCACATGACTTCTTATGTTACAATACTGCTATGGTGCGAGTGACATCATTCCCTATAATTTACCTATAATTTATTTATTCATCGCATACATGACGAAATCACACATGTTAATTCTAATTAGTATTTTTAATCTTAGTAATCTTGCAGGATGTGACGCTACTTATTTTTTTTTATTTATTTTTTTATTGACAAATAACAGTTACATTCTTTAATTTTTTTTTTCGTACTCCAAAGATTGTAAATTGTGACGTTTTAAATTTCAAATAAACAATTAAAATTTTGTTAGGATAATTGTGTGATATTTATCTTATTTATCTCGAGTTAAATCGGACTCTTTTCATTATGATAGTCCGATAACGCGATTTTTTATTTCCGATGTGATACTTTTAAAATCAGGTACGCTGATGTGGGTACATGGTTTTCTGTCCTTCGTCGTAATAAATAAAAAACGCCAAACATTACAATGAATACTATGAATAGTTACTTCACGTGAAAAACTATGTCTATATACGTATAAATATTCGTGTATATGCTATTTATGGAACGCGATCTGTTCTTCTGGTTGATTACTTGTTATACGTGCGAATTCTTTTTTAGTATGGCCAATAAAAAAAAAAACTTTTTTTTTTTTAATATCTACAGATTGAGCCATAATGATACTCAAAACTTGTGGTTGAGTTCACAAAAACATCAGCCTGCTCTAATAATATATGTATTTTGTTTGTTCCACTGCAATATACCTTCTAACTACTTTTCTCATTATGTATTCAATTTAACCGTTTTTCCATCAATTTTTGCTTTTCTCCTTCATTCTGATATATATAGACTAACTCTTCCCCCATTTTCATGTCTCTACATGCATATTCGCAAAAAAGTGCTTTATAATCGGAATACGCTAATAGTAATGTTTTTATTGCCGGAGAAGAACGGAGACTTTTTTCTACTTTTATGATTATGCGTCTCGATGTGTGTTTCCTTTGTTTCACGTGACTTTCGTTACACCATTAATTCAGGTAAACCTTCTATATTCGATATTAGGAAGTTTCGAATGTTTACTTATAATATTATCGTTAAGATTTGTATATATCGTCCTGTGAAATTAAATTTGGCCATGTGATGAGATAAAAAGTTTAATTAAACTTGAAATTTCAAATTTAAATAACGAAAAGGTAATCGAAGATCACAAAAAAATAAATGTATAGATAAGTTAACAGGAGATAACATTTGATGATCGTATAATCTAAAAATAGCAATAGGGCGGACATAACACATTTTGGTCTATTATTTCTCCGTAACCTTCCCGCTATAATCCGGATAATTTGTTTATCAAAACTCTGAAATTAAATATTTAAAAAAATATACAAAATTTTATTATTTTCGCTATTTTGTAAAGATTTGGTTAGTACAATTCTATGTTGATATTGATATATTATAATTGGAAGGTGGTTTGCTTATTATCTTAATTATGAAAAGGCAATATTTTTAACGCTTTTTAGTTTAAAAAATTACTTATCTAAAAATGGTTGAATATATTTAAGGTTTAACGCAATATAGTTAATAAGCCCCGTAGTGTAACACGTGATTTATTAATAGTAATTATTGCAAACAGATACCTGCATATTTGATACCGATGCATAAAACCAAATCGTACATCACGTTATTTACTTCTATTGGCCATCCTTTACGCTGTATCTTTGTATAATAAAAGAGAAAAAGAACAATTACGCAGCATAGTCTAGGAAATTTGCCGCACAAAAAATTGGCCTGCATTAAATTAATTTAGGCCGATGATCTTCAAAATTTTTAATTTTGGCCGGAAATTAATTTTTTTAGCCACTGTATAAAAAAGGAAATTTATTAAAAATAGGCCTACTCTACGGTAATATTGACTCAGAAACGTTTTTCACATAATGAGTGCCTGCAGTTTAATTAATAGAATTTTACGTAGTCTAATTCTTTTTTTTTTTTGCCGCGCATTTTTTGTGCGGAACCCAGGATAAAAGTTCTGGGAAACTACTAATAAAATTTTGGTAATATTTGTTGGCCAAATTTCTACAAATGAAACATGTTTATCCAATTTACCAGGTAGTCGAAAAATCCCCGGGGGGCAATTCCTTTTTAACTATCTCGAATATTTTTACATATTAAATACAAGATAATACAAAATATGGATTTTTTTAGATAAACGATCATTTATTAATCATTGTAACCTAGCGTGTAAAAAAATTTTATGTGCTCAATGTGCTCAAACCAATTTTTTGGTTTCTTTTTTTGGTTAATACAAACTTTTATTTGTATACGTACGTACTGTACGTAGCGTACAAAAATTAAACATTAGTACATTATCTCACATTGTACATATTAATTTAAAAATAAATAATCTTTCTACAAATTTAGAAATATCCCTTGTACTGCTTCTAATTAAGGTTTTAATGGTATAATTTTAGTTATAATGACAGTAAAAAAACGTTAAAATTAGTTTAGTAAAATTTTAAATATAAATATTTAAATTTACAATTATTTACAAATATACAAATAAAGTAAAAAAACATATTTATTATGAAACGGGGTGAACCCTGAATTGTGGACTATTAAAAGTGGACTAGTAAAACCTGCTACAAATCACTGTTGTAGCGAAGTGATCGATCCCATTAATAAAAACTTTTTAAAATTTCACCATATCGAGAGTTTTACTATTAAAAATTCACCATCTCGAGAGTTTTACTAGTAAAAATTCAATATACGTATCAAGAGAATTTATGAGTCAACCTTCACTATAGTGAAATTTTAATTGGTCTTCATTGTATCAAGAGTTCACTATAACAAGGTTAGAGTAAAATCTGCATTGAATAATGTTTTTTATAATATAAAATCGTTATCTCATATATATAATTAACAGTGAGTTTTACTAGCTCGCAACTTAGGTTTCAACTTGTTGTACGTACAGTACGTTCGTATTATAAAAATTTAAATACTTTCACTATATTCACCTAGCAATCGTTGTTGCATTAGCCAATAAAAACGACTAGCTGATTAGGTTAATTAATTTTTAAAAAATTTAATTTAATTTTTGAATGTATTATTTATAGAAAAAAAAATGGTTAGAAGATTTAAAAAGACTAAACAATAAATAACTTACAAAAGTAATGTTAAAAAAAATTTTTTTAAAATATATATTATTAAAAGAGAATTGCTAAATTAATCGGGGGTAAAATCGCCGAGATCCTATATCTCAAAAATGTACTAAGTAATTAAGTC